AACGAGATTAATTAAGGCAATCTCTAGTCACACACCCACACACAAAAAGAAAAGAAAAGAAAAAAGGACCCCATATAGGGTTTCTAAGGAGCAGCTGGTGGGCTCGAACCACCGACCTTGTAGTTCAAAAGGCTCTGCAGTCTGGTCTCTTAACCCTCAGAGCCACAGCAAGACGGCCTTGTTGCTGGTGGCAAAAACCCACCTCAAAGCGTCTCCGCTTGTGCTGGCTTGTGCCTTGATGGGTGGGCCTGAGCCTTGGAGGTTGGGCAGAGGGCTAGCCTAGGCAGAGGGGGTGGAGGGCGGGATTAGTGGCTGCAGGCAGATGGCGTCCCTGTCTGACGACATCAAAAAATGCCTCTCTCTGTCTCCCTGCGCCATGGGCACCCGGCCAGACAATACCTCCCGTGGCAATGAGGGCTCCCCCCACCACCACCCACGAAGGACCATGCCAGTTCCTGTGGCCCCGCTGGCTCTCTGGGCACACCCGCCCTCCAAATGGGTCCGCTCAAGCCCTGCGCGCAGTCCCGGAGCGGGAGCTGAGCGCAGGCGAGTGCAGGCGGGCAGAGGCCCAAAATGCCCACAACTCCTCAGCAGCTCAACCCTTCAAAAAAGCAAGTCCACAATATTGGAGGCTAAAGTCTTACGTTTGCCCAAAGACTGTCTGTCTACCCGGCAGGGGCCTCCTCTGTGTGATACCACCCACCCTTCCCCGGAGCCCGCTCACCTATGCTGCCGGGTCAGGGACACGCCGGAAGTCCCTTCCATATGCTACTTTTTAAAGTGGTTGAACATGGACCATTTCTTTTTGGTTCAGTGATTCTGTGTATTCCTTCCATATTCTTTTGATGCTTTCTGCATCATTCGATAATTTGCCCAGAGAATCCTTCACTAACGAAAGTCGAGGCTTGAATTTTTTCTTCAGTTTCCCCAGTTGAGAAACGCTAAGCGTGTTCTTTCCTTTTGATTTTCTAGCACCAGGTCTTTGCACATTTCATTATAACATTTGACTTTGTCTTCTCGAGCTGCCGTTTGAAATGTTCTATTCAACTCTTTTACTTCCTCGCTTCTTCCATTTGGTGTCCTGGTGTGGCACTGTGGGAAAATGCACTGGATTGCAAAATCAGTTTGAATAACAAGGTAGACGGTTCAAGCTCACCAGCCGCTCCTTGGAAGCCCTATACAGGGTCACTATGGGTCAGAACTGACTCTACGGCACTAACAACAACAATCTTCCATTTGCTTGAGTGTCTCTACACTGAAGAGCAAGTTTCAGAGTCTATTCTAACATCCATTTTGATTGTTTCCTTCTCTCTTGTCCTATTTAATGACCTTTTGCTATCTTCCTGTACAATGTTCTTGATGTCATCACACAACTTGTCTGGTCTTCTGTCATTGGTGTTTAGTGTATCAACTTTGTTCTTCAGATGATCTCTAAATTCTGGTGGGATATGGCTCTCTTGGACTTGTTTTCATTTTCTTCAGTCTGAACTTGCATATGAGCAATTGATGGTCTGTTCTACAGTCTGCCTCTGATTTTGTTTTGGCTGATGATATGGAGTTTTTCCACCATCTCTTCCCACAGATGTATTCATTTTGATTTCTGTGTATTCCATCTGGTGAAGTCCATGTGTATAGTCATGTTTATGTTGTTTATAAAAAAAAGTATTTGCAATAAAGAAGTCATTGGTCTTGCAAAATTCTATCTTGGGATCTCCAGCATAATTTCTGTCACCAAGACCATATTTTCCAACCACTGATCCTTCCTCTTTGTTTCCGACCTTTGCATTCCAATCACCAGTTATGAGCCATACATCTTGATCATATGTTTGGTCAATTTCAGACAGAAGACATTGATAGAATTCTTCAGTTTAATCCTCACTGGCTTTAGTGGTTCGTATGTAAATATGAATAATAGTGGTATTAACTGGGCTTTCTTATAGGCACATAGATATTATCCTATCACAGACAGCGTTGTATCTCATGACTGATCTGGATATGTTCTTTTTGACAATGAATGCAACACCATTCCTCTTCAATTTGTCATTCCCTGCATAGTAAACCATGTGGTTGTCAGATTCAAAATGGCCAATACCAGCCCATTTCATCTCACTAATGCCTAAGATATCGATGCTTATGTGTTCCATTCCATTTTCTATAACTTCCAATTTACCTAGATTCATATTTCATACATTCCACGTTCTCATTATTAATGCATATTTCCAGTTATTTCTCCTCATTTTGAGTTGTGCCCCATCAGAAAAGAAATGTTTCAAAGGCTTTACTCCATTCGCGTCATCACGGTCAACTCTACTTTGAGGAGTCATCTCTTCCCCTGTCATACTTTGAGTGCATTTGAATCTGAGGGGCTCATCTTCAGGCACTGTATCTGACAATATTCTGGTGTTCTTCACCATGTTTCAATATTCAATATTCTGGTGCTGACAGTGTTCCTCTGCTAATCATAAGGTTTTCAGTGGCTAAACATCCACAAGTTGTCCATCTCTCCTACTTTCTAGTCTGCAAGCTCATCTGAAACCTGTCCACCATGGATGACCCTGCTGGTATTAAAAATACCGGTGGCCTAGCTTCTAGCATTACAGCTACACACAAGCCACCACAGTGTGACAAACTGACAGACGAGTGGTTGATGTATATATTATCTGTCATGTTGATTCTGACTGAGTACCCTCACATAACAAAGTAGACCTGCTCCGGGGGATTTCTGAGACTGCAGATCTTTACGGGAGCAGTCAGTCTTATCTTTCTCCTGAGGAGAGGCTTGTGGGTTTAAACTGCCGACCTTATAGTTAGCAGCCCAATGCTTAACACACCATGCCACCGGGTTCCTTGTATATGGCAATGCTTAAAAACTAACCTAAAGGCTTGTGGTTCAAACCCACCAGCAGGTCTTTGGGAGAAAGGCTTGGAAACCTACTCCTATGGACATGACCCTGTAGGACATGCTGTGGATCAGTTCTACTCGGCCACACGGAGTCGCCGTGAGTGGCCATTGACTGTCCAGTACCCTACAATGACATTGGTGCATATTGGCTGTTCTCCTCCAGCAGGATACCGGCCACCCCAGCTGGGTCTGATCATTGCCCTTCCTGAGTGTACTGAGGGTGTGCGCTGATGGGATTGGAGTGATTGAGGCAGAAGGCTCCAACCCCTGGGTTCAAATCATGTCCCTCCACGTGGGGAGTGGTGTATTCTTCTGAGCCCTGGTCATTTAAAGGTCTCTAAGTTGAAAAAGGTCTTCCTGAGGATTCAGGACACCTGGAGAGATCCAGGCACCTGAGACTCAGAGACTGAGCAGCTTGATCCTGCCGCATCCTTGCTGGGGGGCCACCGAGCGCCTGGTCCCCATGGGGCTGCATTACCTCCTCAGGTATACAGAGGGAGCTGTGGGCCTGTGGGGATGCTTCTCTTGAGCTGGATGCACTGAACGTCCGCAGAGGAGGCCCCAGCATTGGCCCCCTGCGCAGACGGTGGAAATGACACCCAGCCCTCATCCTGTCCCTGGTTTGGGGCCTGGCTGCCCAGCCATGCTTGGGGAGTTCGGAATTGCAACTTACATCTGCCAATGAGCCATGGTCTCCTTTGTTGACAGGTCCAACGGCGAAAATAAAGAGACATTTCATAACTGAGAAATACAAAAACGAAATCTATAACTTATACCATTGACTTCCTGTGCGGAGCAGCAGGTGGCCTTGTGGACGGTGAGATGCGGCCACTGGGCTTTGTGGGGACAAGATGGACAGACAGTGTGTCTGTGTGGTGGTGGGCCAGGAGCACATGTGCCCTTACACACTCACATGAACGTTCACACAACCACACACATACTCACACGTGCACCTTTACACAGCCACACACACAGAATCACATTCAGTGCACACACACACAGCCACACACACAGAATCACATTCACTACACACACACAATCACATACATGCCTTCACACACACAGAATTACATTCAGTGCACACACACACAACCACACGCACACACACAGAATCACATTCACCACACACAACCACATACACACATGCCTTCACACACACAGAATTACATTCAGTGCACACACACACACACCTTCACACACACAGAATCGCATTCACTACACACACACAACCACGTACACACATGCCTTCACACACACAGAATTACATTCACTACACACACACAACCACACACATGCCTTCACACACACAGAATCACATTTAGTGCACACACACACAACCACACACACATTTTCACACACACACACACACAGAATCACATTCATTACACACACACACACAACCACATACACATGCAACTTCATACACAGAATCACATTCAGTGCACGCACACACAACCACACACATGCCTTCACACACACAGAATCACATTCAGTGCGCACACACACACAACCACACACACATTTTCACACACACACACACACACAGAATCACATTCACTGCACACACACCGTCACACACATAGAATCACATTCACTGCACACACACACAATCACATGCACACATACTTTCAGACACACACGCAATCACAACCGCTCACACGTGCTCACACACATACACACTCACCTCCACAATCCCAGCTGGCAGCATTCACCACACATACACACGCACACACAATCTTTACAAACACCCTGGCACGCCCACTCAGCGTGTACATACAAACACCTACACACAGCCTGGCACACACGCACACGCTCACTCCCATTCAGTTGCGGTTGTGAACCCTCAGCAAGTGTTCTCTTATGGGGTCCTAGCAAAGAAACAGCTGCTGCTCTCAAGTCGGTCTGATTCCTGTGGACCAGAGGGGTCCCCGGCCTGCCATCTTCATGGAACAGCTGGGGGGCCCTACCGCCGGCCTTTCCATGGTAACCCACTGGGCACTGAGGGCTTCACAGGTCCCTAGTTTCTCTCTTTGTCTACTGCCCCCCAGGAGGCAGGAAGCCAGGCCTCCCCCAGGACCAGAGCTCTCTGGCTTATTTGGAGAAGGCCTTTTGTCAGGAACTTTGCCGGGTAGAGGAACCCAAGGAATGAGGGAGGGTCTGGGGGTCCCTCAGAGAAGATGGGGCATTGACCGCTAAACTTCCCACCTAAGTCCTGTCCATGAGCTTTCTGGAACTCAGCTAAGCACAGAAGAGAGGGTGGTATACATGTTTTTTCTTTTTTTTTTCTCACAGTTCTGGGCTTTTGGGGGGAAGGTTGTTGTTGTTAAGTGCCATTGAGTCAATTCTGACTCATAGAGACCCTGTGTAGGGTTTCTAAGGAGCAGCTGGTGAGCTTGCAGTTCACCAAGAATCTCCAACCTTGCAGTTCAAACGACTTTACAATCTGACGTCAGCATTAGCCCACAGCGCCATGCCAATGTTGTTGTTGTTATGTGCCGTGGAGTCGGTTCCGACTCATAGCGACCCTGTACAGGGTTTCCGAAGCTGTAAATCTTTACGGGAGCAGAAAGCCTCATCTTTCTCCTGCGGAACAGCTGGTAGCTTCGAACTGCTGACCTTGTGGTTCGCAGCCCGATTCGTAACCACTACGTTACCAGAGCTCCTTTAGCAGGTTACAATTCACAGTCAGCAAATGCTGAGGGCCCCGTTGTTCCAGTCAGGACAGCCTGTGCTCAGCCATGCCCACAGGGACGCCTCTCTCTGCCTGGTCAGTGGTACAAAGTTGATAAATACCCACAGGATGCTCTTGGCTCTAGCTCCCTGGATCAGCAAACTTAGCCCCCCAATTAGGCACCCCACTCTGCAAGCAAGCCTTCTGCCCAGAAGCCTTCTTTCTACCCAGAAGCCTTCTGCTTAGCTTTCCTTGCTTCGAGTGGGTGTATGTCTGTCAGTGGTGCCGACTGGGTCCCTGTAATAACGGTCCACCATGCCCTGGTCCTCAATTTCACCGCTGACTCACACCCTCAATGCCCAGTGACTCGTGAGCAAGCCCAGGAGTTCAACGGGTCACATTCATCAGCCCCAGAAAGTCCGAATCCACTTAGCAAGTTCCATTTCACTTTGCAGCTGAGCGAGAGGTGTTCTGACACAGAAGTGGGGCTTCGTTGCAGCACGAGTGTCGGACAGTGTGCTGTGTTTTCACATCTTGAAGGTTGGTAGGAACCCCGTGTCAAGAAAGTCTAATGGACCTCATTTTTCCAACAGCCTATGGCCACTTCATGTCAAATGTTGACCACTCCTTCAATATTTCAAGCTTTCATCATGCTATTTACTGCACACACAATGGGCTGCAGGACAATGCTAACTGAACTTGTATAGATGGTGGAGTCCTGGTGTGGCACTGTGGGTTAATGTGCCAGACTGCAAAGCCGTTTGAACTGCAAGGTCAGCAGTTCAAGCTCACCAGCCACTCCTCAGAAACCCTATACAGGGTCAGAACCGACTCAGCGGTACTTAGCAACAAACATAGCATTTCTATTGGACAGTGTTGGTTCCAAGTTCATTATGAGGGTATTTTCAAGTGCAGACTGCTTGGTAAATAAAGGGTAGCTGGCCTCAGAGAGTAACACTCAGACTGTGAGGACCCCCACGTGATGGTGTGTGCTTCTCTCCCTCCAGACTCAGGCTGGAAGCCCCTCACCACGATCACACCCCATCTGCTGCCGCTGTCCGGGTTCTGTCTGTTGTTTTTAAGAAGACAAGTTCTCAATGATTCTGTCTCTAGATTGCTCACCTGTTGAGGCGGTGTCCCTAACGGGATCTGTCACACCTTTCAAAGCAACTGCATCGTCATAGATCTTTGGATTCATTATTGAGCCCAGGAATCAATGTGATTGGGAAGTTGCAGAAGGAAGATCTGACCATTGTGTGTCCCTGCTGGACTGTTTGATGTCCCCAGGAGGACTTTAGAAGATAATGGAGAGGAAACCAAGCCTTCACAAGCAGAAAGAACTGTCCCCCCCAAATCCACCTGGAAACAACTTGGAAACCCTTCCAATAAGCCCTGAGAATAAAGCTCTCGAGTCTTCTGGGTCCCAGGTCCTGGTTTTTGGTGAGATGACACCATTTGGTCCTTTGTGGAGTGGTTCAGACTTGAAGTCAGTCCCGGGTTTGGCTCGCTGTGTGTGATGGCCACCTTCCAAGTCTAGGGGACGGGGTTATCTCTGTGACAATAGATACTGTGAAGGTGCATGGAGAAAATGCCTCACACTTGGAAGTCCTCCGTATGACTGGTGAGTGTCGTAGTACCTGGCCAGTCTGAACAGGAGTGACGCTTGATTTATTTTCTCATTAGGGACGCATTCTACTGTAAAGGCCAAAGGAACAGTTACTTAACGCAGATAGACATGTACTCATCTGTCATCCATGGCTTGGTTCCTGAATATTGGGGGGTGGGGGCCAGAGGGGCACATCTCTCAGTCCAGAGAGGGCAGCCAGTCAGAACAGTGAAACATATTTCCATTTGTTGTTGTTGTTGTTAGGTGCCATCGAGTCAGTACCGACCCATAGCAACCTTACGCACAACAGAATGAAACACTGCCCGGTCCTGGGCCAACCTCACTACTGTTTCCACGCTTGAGTCCATCGATGCAGCCACTGTGCCAATCCATCTTTTCTGGGGTCTTCCTCTTTTTTTCTGACCCTCCACCTTACCAAACATGAGATCCTTCTCCAGCGAGTGCTCCCTCCTGACAATAAGTCTGAAGTATGAGAGACGAACTTTTTTTTTGTTTTTGTTGTTAGGTGCTGTTGAGCCATTTCAGACTCATCGTAAGTCTACATTGACCAGGACGAATCATGGCCTGGTCCTGCCCCCTCCCCCCATAATTGCTCTGTTTCAGCCCATTGTTGCAGCCCCCACCCCCATCAATCCATCTCACTGGGGGTCTTTCTTCTTTTCCACTGACTATCTACCAAGCATGATGTCCTTCCTCAAGCACTTGGACCCTCCTGATGGCATGTCCAAAATGCGTGAGTCAAAGTCTCTCCATCCTGACTTCTAAGGAGCATCGTCCAACCCAGATGTGTTCATTCTCTGGCAGTCCATGGTATTGTCAATATTATTTACCAACACCATCCTTCAAAGGCATCCAATGCCCCTTAAGGATCCAAACAAGGTACTGCAAAACGTTCATGACAGAATTACATTATCATTTAATAACATTGCCCATAAATGCACGGCCCCCTTCAAGTATTTTGGATAAACTACCAGCTCTTCTGTGGGAAAAAGATGAGGCTTTCTATTCCCGTAAAGATTTACAGCCTCAGAAACCCTGTACAGGGTCGCTATGAGTCGGAATCGACTCCATGGCACATAACCACCACCACCACCACACCTTTATTAAATACACTGTTCATGAAAACGCTCCCCCAATCTGTAGGCTCTGTCTCTTTGTTGAATAAAATCCTTTGTTGAATAAATACTATTTAAACTTTATAAGGTCCCTATTGTCTATTTTGTCTTTTGCAGCATGTGCTTTTATAGTCTAAGCTCATAATGCATCACTAAAAGCTAGGCCCTGCAACTACGCCCCTGGAATTTCCTCAGAATTTATTGGCTTTGGGTTCTGCATTTTACTCCTTGACCCATTTGGATCTGGTTTTTGCACATGGTCTGATGAGGTATGGATCCTGATTCGTACTTTTCACCACAGGAATCCTATTGACTACTTATGGTATTGTTGTTAAGTGCAGTTGAGTTGTTTACCACTCATAGCAACCCTGTATAGGGTTTCCAAGGATTCTGGAAATCTTGCATGAGCAGGAAGCCTTATCTTTCTCCCGGGGAGTGAATGGTGGGCTCGAACTACGAACCTTGTGGTTCCCAGTTTAGTGTTTATGTTATGGAGCCACCAAACTCCCCAGTGAAGACACAGTGGAGAAGTCAAAACAAGGCCAGGGCAGGATGTGGAACAAAATATCAATTGCTTATAATGCAAGTTAAGGCTGACGCTGAAGAAAAAACAAGTCCACGAGAGACAAAATATGTCCTCGACCATTCCCCACTGAAATTTAGAGATCAGATCATGAACAGATTTGATGCATTGGACACTAATGTCTAAAAGCCAGAAGAATTATGGGATGATATCAAGAACATCATACAGGAAGAAATCAAAAGATAATTAAGAAGACAAGAAAGAAGGAAAAGACCAAATGAATGTCAGAAAAGACTCTGAAATGTGCTCTCCAGCGTAGAGATACTAAAGCAAATGGAAGAAATGATGAGGTACAAGAGCTGAACAGAAATTTTCAAAGGTCAGCTTGAGAAGATAAAGTCAAGTATTACAATGAAATGTGCAAAGATCTGGCGTTAGAAAACCAAAAGTGAGGAACACGCTCAGCATTTCTCAAGCTGAAAGAACTGAACAAAAAATTCAAGCCTTCACTTGAAATACTGAAGGATTCTCTGGGCAAAATGTTGAACAATGCAGAAAGCATCAAAAGAAGATGGAAGAAATACAGAGTCACTGTACCAAAAAGAAATGGTTGATGTTCAAACATTTCAAGAGGTAGCATCTGATCAAGAGCCAATGATCCTGAAGGAAGAAGTTCAAGGTGCACTGAAGGCATTGGCAAAGAACAAGACCCTGGGAATTGATGGAATATAAATTGAAATCTTTCAAGAAAGTGAGGCGGCACTGGAGGCACTCATTCATCTATGCCAAGAAATTTGGAAGATAACTACCTGGCCCAACTGATTGGAAGAGATCCACATTTGTGCCCATTCCAAAGAGAAGTGAGTCAACAGAATGTGGAAATCATTGCACAATATCATTGATGCCTCATGCAAGTAAATTTACTTAAAGATAATTTTTTAATGGCTGCAACAGAACATTGGGACTTGCCAGAGGTTCAAGCCAGATTCTAACGAGGACATGGAACGAGGGATATCATTTCTGCTGTCAGATGGTTGAAAGCAGAGAATACCAGAAAGATGTTTACCTGTGCTTCATTGACTACACAAAAGTTTTCGTTTGTGTGGATCACAACAAACTATGGACAACATTGTATGAGTATTCCGGAACACTTAATTGTGCTCACGAGGAATCTGTACATAGACCAAGAGGCAGTTGTTTGAACAGAACAAGAGGACACTAAATGGTTTAAAATCAGGAAAGGTGTGCACCAGAATTGTATTCTGTCACTACACGTATTCAGTCTGTACACTGAGCAGATAATCTGAGAAGCTGGATTATATGAAGAAGAACATGGCATCAGGATTGAAGAAGACTCATGCGATATGCAGATGATACAACTTTGCTTGCTGAAAGCAAAGAGGACTTTAAATGCTTCCTGATGAAGATATGGGTTGTACCTCAATGTGAAGAAAACAAAAATCCTCACTGCTGTACCAGTAAATAACATCATGATAAATGGAGAAAAGACTGAAGCTGTCATAGACTTCATTTTGCATGGTCTACAATCAACATCCATGGAAGCCGCAGTCAGTAAATCAAACAACATACTGCATTAGATAAACCAGCTGCACAAGACCTCTTTAAAGTGTTCAAGAGCAAAGAAGTCAGTTTGAGGACTAAGGTGCACCTTACCCCAAGCTCTGGTATAAACTCATATGCTTATGAAAGTAGGACAATGAAAAAGGAAGCCCATAGAAGAATTGATCCATTTGAATTAAGGTGTTGAAGAAGAATATTCAAAGTACCATGGACTGCCAGAAAAACAAACAAATCTGTGTTGGAAAAAGTATGGCCAAAATGCTCCTTAGAATCCTGGATGGCCTGACTTCGTAGCTCATAGTATCAAGAGAAACCAGTCCCTTGAGAAAGACATCATGCTTGGTAAAATGGAGGGTCAGTAAAAAAAAGAGGAGGACCCCTAACAATATGGATTGGCACAGTGGCAGCAGCAATGGGGACAAGTGTAACAATGCTTGTGCGGAAGGTGCAGGACTGGGCAGTGTTTTCTTCTGTCAGCTGTTCTGACAGAGTAGAGATGCTAAAGCAAATGGAAAAAAGGAGGAGGTATAAGAGCCGGACAGAATTTTTCAAAGGTCAGCTCGAGAATACAAAGTCAAGTATTACAATGAAATGTGCAAAGATTTGGAGTTAGAAAACCAAAAGTTCACAGGGTCAATGTCAGTTGGAACCAACTTGAGGGCACGTAGCGTAGTGGTTACGAATCGGGCTGCTAACCTCAAGGTCGGCAGTTTGAAACTACCAGTGGTTCCGCGGGAGAAAGATGAGGCTTTCTGCTCCCGTAAAGATTTACAGTCTTGGAAACCCTGTGTAAGGTCACTATGAGTCAGAACCGACTCCACGGTACTTAACAACAACATACCTATAAAGCCATTACAGGGGACTCATTCTGGTACTTTGTGACCCTGTAGCATGGAGCGGAACTGTCTGTAGGGATTTCTAGGATATAGTCTTTATGGGAACAGGAAGTCTCATCTTTCTCCTATGGAGAAGCAGGTGGCTTGATCCATTGCCCTTCTGGCTAGCAACCACATACCTGACAAGGGCACCATCAGGGCCCCTTGTAGGTAGGCATGGATACAGATATGTGTGTGTGTCATCATGCTAGCTGTGTAGGTGTTGCAGAGAGCAGAGAATTTATTACAAATGGATGAAAGACCTATGACTTTGTACCAACATGTTCTATAAACTCATAGCTTTATCATATGCACACACACACAGGGAAATAAAATAATACGTGTTTTACAAAGGGTCTCTGGGGGATGCTGTTGTCATCATAGCTCTAGCCAACGGAATCAGAAGTGATGTCATAAGGGCTGGTCATCTGTAGGAATGTTTTGGATCCTTGGCCTTGACACCACTGTCCCTTTGAAGCCGGACAGTGATCAACGTGAAGTGTGATCAACGCTGGTGAGAAGAAGCTGGGGGCAGGTGTGGGCCTTGTCCTGTGTTTTCTGACACGTGATGGGGTGGGGGGGTGGAATGTGTTGTGAGTGGAAAGCAGAGGCTGGGGACTCCGAGTGCTCGGCTCCTCCCAGGAATGGGCCATTAGGTTTGGGGGAGGCAGAGAAGGTACCAGAGAACACTTCTTCACAAACACAGCTCTGGCCCCTGTCTATTGTCTTGTTTCCTTCTACACACCCTCCTTTCTTGCCACCCCAGCCCTAAGAGCCTCCATCATACGTCTCCAACTCTCAGTTCCTCCTTCTGGTCAGCTGGCCAACTCCATTGTCTTTGTGACCTTCTTGTTGTTGTTATGTGCCGTGGAGTCAGTTCTGACTCATAGCGACTCTGCACAGGGTTTCCGAGGCTGTAAATCTTTATGGGAGCAGAAAGCCTCATCTTTCTCCTGCGGAACAGCTGGTAGTTTCGAACTGCTGACCGTGAGATGAGCAGCTCGATTCGTAACCACTACGCTACCAGAGCTCCTTCTACTGCTGCTATAAAAGAAACACCACAAGGGGGGTTTGATAAACAGGAATTGAATTTCTCACAGTTCAGGAGTCTAGAAGACCAAAGTCCAGCTGTTGGCCCCGGAGGGAGGTCCTTTATAGGTTCTGTCCATTGGCTTCTTGGTCTCTCTCCTCTCCCATCTCTGCCCCTTGCTTCTGTAACTTGCTTAATCTGTTCTTTTTATAGATCTCAGGAGATAGATTGTCTAAGACATGCCCTGAACTAATACTGCCTCGTGAACGGGACAAAAAAAACCCCAAAACATTCCCAAATGGGACTATTCGCACACGTATGCTCTTTGCCTTTGAGTTGGGGCCTGATGTGGCACTGTAGGATAAACACTGGACTGCTAACCGCATGGTCAGGGGTTCAAACCCACCAGCCCTGTCCTCAGAAACCCTGTACAGGGTCACTATGAGTCAGAACTGACTTAACAGCACTAAACAACATGGGGTTTCCAAAGCTGTGGGTTACAACCACTTTCCTTTCCAGGGCACTTTAGGATTGACAACAAACACGTTTGAGGTCAGACCTGTGATAAAGGGCTTAACCCTAACAATTGTGTGGATGGTATAGGATTGGGCAGTGCTTCGTTCCAATGGGCATTGGGTTACTGTGAGTCGAGACTAACACCTAACATTTCTGAGCACACAATTTAATCCCTAACAGTACTCATTGCTCAGGGCTCCTGCCTCAGGCTGCTCCCAGGACTAAGTGGGACCCTCTGAGCCCCCCCAGGACTAAGTTGTTGCTGTTGAGTGTCGTCGAGTCGGTTCTGACTTAGTGACCCTGTCTGTACAGGCTTTCCAAGGAGTGACAAGTGAGAATGAACTGTGGTTCAAACTGATCTTTTGGTCTAGTGCTTTATCCCACAGTGCTATACCAGGACTCAATGAGACCCCCTAAACCCCTAGTGGACACTCCAGCCTTCTGTCCATTCTGACTGCCCCCAGAACTAAGTGGGACTCTCTGAGCCCCTGGTGGGCATTCCCAGCCTTCTGCCCAATTATAATCTCATGGGTCTGTCTGCCCACCCCTAGCAGACTGTGAGCCCCTCAGGCCGTGAAGACAGAAGTTAAGGCTTTGGGGACAGGATGCTGACTCCCCCCGAAAGGGGGCTCACTACCCAAAGATGAAAGGCAGAGGTTAGAGGCTCTGTAGGCCCTGGGGTGGATGGTGGGCTTTCCCAAGAGGCTGGTCTGCGGGTGGGGGGATCAGGGTTGGCCAAGGGTGGCTGAGGCAGCGCTGGGTTTCTTGGGGGTGTGGTCTGCTCCCCTGGGAGTGGGTGGGAGAGAGGACCCTGAGAATTGCCCCTCTGCCCGGAACCTGGGCTCAGGACCCAGAGGGAAGGGGCAGGTGGTCAGCAGTTTTCAGCAGAGCTTGGCCCCTACGGTGTCCACAGAATGGAACGCAGGCCTATTATTGAGTTACCAGCTCCTGGGGGGCCTTGGTCTGCATTGGTCTCTGTGGGTCAGTGCGTCTGCCTGTCACTCTGTGTCTCCCTCCCCTCAGTGAGTCCTTGTCTGTTTCACACTAGCTCTTGTGCTGTCCCGCCCCCCACTTTATCTCTCGGTCTCGGCCCCTTTGTCCTGTCCACACCCCCTCTACTTGTCTTTGCACCCACTTCTGCCTCCCACTGGCTGCTCCTGCCTCGAGCCCCCTCTGCTAAACCTCACCTGCCCACAGACCGCTGCTTCTGGACCACGAGGCCAGACGGTGAGGTACAGCTGCGGCTGGGCAGAGACTCGCTGGCCGCCGGGGCGCCCCTCACCGTGCACGACCTGATTCTGGATGCAGCCACCAAATACTCCAACTACATCGCGCTGGGCTCCAAGCACAAGAAAGGCTGGCACATGCTTACCTACATTGAATATTACGAAGAATGCCGCCGGGCCGCCAAGGCCTTCCTCCAGGTACTCTGCTCTGGCTCACATTGTTCCGTGTCCCTGAGACTTTCTGTCCACTGCTGTTGAGGGTTACTGAGTTGCTTCCACTCATAGTGATCCCCGTGTGCAGCAGAACCAAGCACCTCCTGGCCCTCCGTCATCCTCACAGTCTTTGCTGTATCTGAGCCTGCGGTTGACCACTATATCAGTTCATCTCATTGGGGGTCTTCCTCTTGTCCACTCTACCAGAGTCCATTTGGTTCTAAGTCATTTGAATTAGGGTTTCTCAGCCTTACAGTGATGGACATTCTGCTGGATAGCCATTTGTTGGGATGGGAAGTGTCTGTGTATTTTAGGGTGTTATCATTAGGTACCAACTCATGGTGACCCCAAGTGTGCAGAGTGGAACTGTCTCCATAGGGTTTCCAAGGCCTTTCAGAAGCAGATGGCAGGTTTGTCTTCAGAAGTATCTTTCGTTGTTGTTAAATGCTGTCAAGTCTATCCCAGCTCATCACAACCCTGTATAGGGTTTCTAAGGAACAGCTGGTGGGTTTGAACTGCCAACCTTGTGGTTCACAGTATAGTGCTGGTCCTACAGGATCACACCAGGACTCCAAGGTGTTTTAGAAGCAGATGGTCAAGTCTGTCTCCAGAGGCATCTTTGTTGTTGTTGTCAGGTGCCATCGAGTCGGAACCGACTCATAGCGACTCCATGCACAGCAGAACGAAACAATGTTCGATCCTGGGCCAACCTCACCACCGCTGCCACCCCCGAGTCCATCAATGATGCCACCTGGCCGATCCATCTCGTTGGAGGTCTTCCTCTTTTTCTCTGACCCTCCACCCTACCCAGCATGACATCCTTCTCCAACGATTGTTTCCTCCGGACTACATGTCCAAAGTAGGAGAGACGAAGCTTAGCCATCCTGGCCTCCAAGGAGCACTCTGGCTGCACTTCTTCCAAAACAGATCTATTGGTTCTTTTGGCAGTCCATGGCACCCTCAGTATTCTCCTCCAACACCACAACTCAAAGGCATCAATTCTTCTACGATCCTCTTTATTCACTGTCCAGCTTTCGCATCCATATGAGGCTATTGAAAACACAATGGCCTGGGTCAGGCGCACCCTAGTCCTCAAGCTGACATCTCTGCTCTTCAATACTTTAAAAAGTTCCTGTGCAGCAGATTTGCCCAGTGCAATACGTCGTCTGATCTCTTGACTGCTACTTCCGCGAGTGTTGATAGTTGATCCAAGAAGAATGAAGTCCTTGACAACTTCAATCCTTTCTCCATTGATAAGAGGCATCTTTGGGTGGGTTCAAATCACCAACCTTTCAGCTCATAGTCTAGTATTCAATCATTTGTACCATCCAGCATGACTGCATATACAAGGTAGGGTATTGAGACACATCCCTGACCTCCACCCGGTAGCACCCTGCCCACAAATCACGGCACTTAAACATGCATGACTAATTACCTCCAGGAATAACTGTCTCCTCTATCAAGAGACCAGAAGATGGTGCCACTCGATCATTACTAGACATTTTGATCCTAAATTCTACAGAAGGATCCTGATCAAAAGGGGGAAAATACAAAACAGAATTTCAAATCCTCATAGAATCTAGACTTGCTGGAGTCGTTAGGTTGAATGAATGTCTCCAAAAGCTATTACCCTGAGATCACCTTTAGGCCTTGAACCAAGCATGTCCCCGGAAGTCTTCAAACCAAGTATTAGTAGAGCTTAACTGGATAAAGAATGTCTGCCTTGATAACTGTGTTCTTGGAAGATCTGTCTCTAAGGGATCAGATGGACAGGAGCAACTCGAAAGGTTAGACAGCAGCTTAGAGGGCTCAAGCTGATGTGGATGGGGGAGCAACAAGTGAGGCAAGGAGGATGAACGTGGCCGTACAACTCTGAGAACGTCATCACCGCCATGTTGAAAGCTGGTGGAATGGCTGTGGGTTTTGCAGTGTGCATTTTCCCAACAGTGACAATTTTAAACATGTCCCCTGTGTTCCCTGAGGGACCCAGAATCAGCCACTCACATTGAGAAGCACTGGCTAGTGGAGATGAGGGTCTGGGGTCTTTTATCAAAGAAGAAAGGACAAGCAGCCTTTGGGCAAAGCCCTAGTTTCCCCTCCCTCCCAATGCTCCTGGGCAGGTGGGGTGCTGGTAGCTGAGACCCCTGGGCTTCACATAGACCTTCCTCCCCCAGCTGGGTCTGGAGCGCTTCCATGGCGTGGGGATCATGGGGCTCAACTCAGAAGAGTGGGTCATCGCCAGCCTTGGTGCCATCATGGCCGGGTAAGGGGTACCTGGCTTCTCCTGGGGGTGCAATGAGAAACCCAGCAAGCTCCTCCTCCATCTGAGGCTGTGGGGGGCACGGAGCAGATGGAGGCTCCAGGGACCGCTCTCATCACTGTTTACTTTGAGCTCAATGGGATTTGTCAAGGGCCAGCCCCACCCTTCCTGACAGTCTCTACCGGGTGAACTCCTATACACCCTATGAAGCCCACTTCCCTTGCCCCCTCCTCCAGGAAGTCTGTCCTACTCCTCAGGGATTCCCAGCACTGAGCCCTCCCTGCATCAGACCATTGAGGGGAAACTCTTCAAAGGCAGAGCCCAGGACTGGGTGGTCCCTAGGTCCCACCATCTAGCAGCCCTTGGCAGTCAAGTTCAAGTTGGGGGTATCCGGAAACATCACCCACACTTGGACTTGATGTGCTCCTCAGGCCCCTGCACTCACTTCTTGGGTTCTGCTTCCAGAGGTTTCTCTGTGGGCATCCTGTCCACCAACTCACCCAAAGTCTGCCAGGTCATCGCTGAGAACTCGCAGGTGGACATCTTTGTGGTGGACGGTGACAGGCAGCTGCAGAAAGTGATCCAGGTGAGTGAGGCATGGCCTGTGTGGAGGGGGCCCTAATGTGGAGGAAGGTTCATGCTGTCTGACGTGATGGAAATAGACAAAGTCGCCCCAGACAATAGACCACCCCATTTTGCTCATATGTGAATCTGGGCCTCTCACTGCCCCCAGGCTATGCTGTTCCTGCGATGTGGCCCCTAACCTCACTGACAGCTTCCCTGGGGGGTCAAAGCCCATTCTGTACTGATTCGCCAACCAGGTCAAATCGGGAGATGTTGTTGTTAAGAGCATAAAGTCAGTTCCAACTCACAGTGACCCTGTATAGGGTTTCTGAGGAGCTGTTGGTAGATTTGAACTGTCGACCTTACAGTTCAAACTGACCTTTTGGTCCAGTGCTTATACTATGGCACTACATGAGAAAAGGAATGGTGTTGCATTCATCGTCAAAAAGAACATGTCCAGATCAGTCATGAGGTACAATGCTATAAGTGATAGGATAATATCCATGCGCCTATAGGGAAGCCCAGTTAATACCACTATTATTCAAATTTATG